CAGATGGCCGACAGGCACATGAAACCATGCTCAACATCGCTAATTATCAGAGCAATGCAAATCAAAACCACAATGAGGTATCACCTCACACTGGCCAGAATGGGAATCATCAAAAAGACCACAAATAACAAATGCTGGAGAGGGTGTGGAGAAACGGGAACCCTCCTACACTGTGAGTGGGAACGTAAGTTTTTTTTGTCTTTTTTTTTTTTGCGGTACGTGGGCCTCTCACCGTTGTGGCCTCTCCCGTTGCGGAGCACAGGCTCTGGACGCGCAGGCTCAGCGGCCATGGCTCACGGGCCCAGCCGCTCCGCGGCATGTGGGATCTTCCCGGACCGGGGCACGAACCCGGGTCCCCTGCATCGGCAGGCGGACTCCCAACCACTGCGCCACCAGGGAAGCCCGGGAACGTAAGTTGATGCAGCCACTACGGAGAACAGGATGGAGGTTCCTCAGAAAACTAAAAATAGAATTTTTATATGACCCAGCAATCCCTCTCCTGGACATATATCCGGAAAGTATAAAAAGTCTAATTTTAAAAGACTCATGGGGAATATTTAATAATTAGTGGAATATTTTTTGCTACTACCTTCCATGATTCTTTCAGCCTATTTCCAAACCTCACCTGTGAAGTGCCGCCTCTTCGTCCTTTGACAGTACAAGTAATACCAGGAACCAATCACATACTTGTTTTATGTTTGGCCCCGTAGTCTACAGTACAGTTATATGTCCTTTATTAGAATTCTGTAGAATTATCCCCACATTAGTCTATTTGCTCAAGTTCTCTTTTGAGTACTCTTGAAACACTGTAAAGTTTTATTCATATCTGTACATCTTTCACATTCCTTGATAAGTTTTTTCTCTCAGAAACTTTACATATCTCTTGTATGGTAAATGAAGCTCTCTTATTAAATCCTATCTTCAAACACACACATTTTTATAATATGCATATATAAAATTTCTCCTCATTATATTGTTGTTTCCATGTGCCCTACTGAATTTTCCTAGAGTTTAAAGCAGTTTTTAGTTGATATTCTTGAATGTCTGCAGGACAACATATTTAAACAACAGTAATTTTAACTATTTGCTTTAAATATTTTTCTCATGTAATTATTTTAGATAATATACTAAAAATAGTAATATGTGCTAGTCTACATTTTTATCTTGATTTTGGCTTTAATGAGGTGGCCCTAGTGTTTCCCCAGTCAACACGATAAAGACTTTTAGACTGAGACAGATGTCCTATCATGTTACAGAAAATGCAACTCTTCATATTTTATAAATGTTTAAGTCAATAGTAATGTTGAGTTCTATTAAGTGGCTTACCAACATTGTAAACATGAATAGCAATTAGTATGTGAATTTTCTCCTTAAATCCATTAATTTGAAAAATTGTCACATTATTTCAATACTAAATAATCTGGACATTTTAAGAAATAAAACAAAATTTAAAAATAAAAAATAAAAGATACATGCACCCCAATGTTCACAGCAGCTCTATTTACAATAGCCAAGACATGGAAACAACGTAAATATCCATTGACAGAGGAATGGATAAAGAAGATGTGGTGCATATATACGATGGAATAGTACTCAGCCATGAAAAAGAATGAAATCGGGCTTCCCTGGTGGCGCAGTGGTTGAAAGTCCGCCTGCCGATGCAGGGGACACGGGTTCGTGCCCCGGTCCGGGAAGATCCCACATGCCGCGGAGCGGCTGGGCCCGTGAGCCATGGCTGCTGAGTCTGTGCGTCCGGAGCCTGTGCTCTGCAATGGAGAGGCCACAGCAGTGAGAGGCCCGCATACAGGCAAAAAAAAAAAAAAAAAACAATGAAATCGTGCCATTTGCAGCAACATGGGTAGACCTAAAAATTATCATACTAAGTGAAGACAGACAGAAAAAGACAAATACCGTAAGATGCCACTTATATATGGAATCTAAAAAAAAAATGATACAAATGAATTTATTTACAAAACAGAAATAGACTCACAGACATAGAAAACAAACCTGTGGTTACCAAAGGGGAAAGGGGATGGGGGAGCGATAAATTAGGAGTTTGGGATTAACAGATACACACTACTATATATAAAATAGACAACCAACAAGGACCTACTGTATAGCACAGGGAACTATATTCATTATCTTGTAATAACCTATAATGGAAAAGAATCTGAAACAGAATATATATATATATATATATAAATGAATCACTTTGCTGTATATCTGAAACACTGTAAATTAACTATACTTCAATTAAGAAAAGAAGGTTCTCACTCACTCATGCTTAATGCCCAAATGAGAAACTCCTCGACATTTCAGTGATTTGCCCAGTACAACTATCCAAATTATCGTCGGGCTGCTGCTTATTTTCATATGAAATGCATGAGGAGTGAATAGAGAACAGTAATCTCACTACACGGCAGTCATATCCCCAGGCACACATGTAAGCCCAGTTAACATGAGGGATTAAGTAACTGACGAAATAGCCACTGAATCACGTTCTACGCAGGCAAGACACAGCCCTACTTTATGTACTGAAAGTATATGCCGGATACAATTTAAGTTAAAAATTTTATAAAACAATATATACTATATGAATCCACAAACCTGTGTGTATATGTACATTAAAAAAGCTGGAAGAATAAATAACAAAATCTTAACAATAGTTATCTCTGTATGGTCATATTGTAGGTGATCTTTATTTCCTTCTGGGTTGTTTTCTGCACCTTCTAATTATCTACACAAATATGTCACTTTTTTCCATGGAGGGAAAATGCATTTTCAAGCCCAAGTAACGAATGTATATAAATTGAGCAGATTGTTACCCTGACAAAATTCCTAATAAGTAGCCTTTACACATATTCTCAGGGCCACTGCCTTTTGAGACAGACTCTGATTTCATCACAATTTGGCCAGACCTTCATCTAAGGTACAAGAAAAGTCAAGTTGCTAAATGCAGCCCTTGAAGCTGTAAGCCATGTAATGACACTGCCACCCCGACTCACTTACTGCATCTCTCCCAAATGTGCAGACACCCCCAAACCCTGGGGATTTTAAGTGCATAGCCCACCATTAGACTTCTTAACACCTCTTGTCAGTAGAGGGAAGCAAGTTACAAAAGGGAGCCACTGAAAAGAAACTGGCAACACCATGGGGACAGAGGCACCACATCAAAGTCATCGTTTCCTACTGCTGCGAAGGGGGAGAGGTGACCCACCAGCTCTCCTGATTCTAAGTGCAGGATCGTCTGTGAATCAGACTTCTCACCGCGCCCCCCGCCAAGCAAATCTGTAATGGCTGGGGCTTGACTGTATTTTTTTTCAGTGGTGGGGTTAGGGTTACCATATGCCATTTGTAAGTTTTGCCAAGAGAATATGACTGATTACAGTCTGAATGGGAGTGGTTCCCCTTTGGAATCAGCCTGCCTCCCACCTTCTGTGATGCCGTGGACTCTGCTATCATGAACCAAGCTCCATCTGCCAGCTGGATTCGGACCCTCAGGGCAGGGCCTGAGACCACTGGCATGACTCACACCCTCAAGGCTGCACTCAGGCTACCATCGCAGACTTTGGAACACCCCCTTGTCCTATTGGGAAGCCCCGACCAGCATTTGGGACCCCTGCAGGAGGACAGCATCGGACACTCATGGCAAAGTCGGGGCCCCCTGGGGATGGGCTTGGACTCCCATGGCAGGGTCTGGGACCCAAAGGGCGGCACTCTGACCCCCCCAAAGCAGAGGCTGGTAATGCACTGTCACAAACTTGGGCCTGCAAGGCAAGGCTGGGGAGTCCCAGGGCTGCACTCAGATCCCGTAAAGCAGGGTCTGGGATCCCTAAGGATGGAGTGGAACCCCCAAGACAGGGTTCGAGACCTCCAGGGATAGGATGGGATCCCCAAAGCAGGGTTCATGACCTCTGGAGTCCCACTAGGATTCCCCACCCCTGCCGGCAAGGCAGGGTCTTGGGGCCCAGGGCTGCATTCCCACACTCGGGCTACCAACACGGAGCTCATCCCGCCAGGGCCAGACAGGAGACTCCAAGCCCAAGTTTGTGACCTCCGGGCCAGACAAACAGCCCCAAGGCAGAGTTCAGGATCCACCGCGACTTGCCTGGACCCCCAGGGCCACAGTCAAGCTACCACCATAGACTTCAGATCCCCGGACTGGATTTGAAACCCCCAAGCAGTGTTTGCAATACCCGTCCAGTCCAGACTCCAGGCCCCAAGGTAAAGTCTGGAACCTCCAGGGATGGGACTGGATCCCCAAGGCAGGGTCTAGGACCCCCGGGGCCGCACCCGGACACCTAAGGTAGGATCCGGGACCCCTCCCCAAGGCATGGTCTGAAACCCAGGCTGAACCGGGACCCCTAAGGCAGAGTTCTGGGCCCTCAGGGCTGCACTCAGACTCCCCCTAAGGCAGGGTCTAGGACCCGGGTCCGCATTTGTACGCCTAGGCCAGGGTCTGGGACACTCAGAAATGCACTTGAACCCCCAAGGCAGGATCTGGGACTCCTGTGACACACTAAGAGCCCTACGGCAGGACCTGGGACCCCAGGGCTGCACTCGGACCATTAAGGCAGCGTTTGGGGCTCCCGGGGCCGCCCTCGGACCTCCACCAAGGCAGGGTCTGGGACCACTGGAACCACACTCGGATCCACCAAGGCAGAGTTCGGGGTTCCGGAGGACGGAACTGATCCCCAGGACCGGACCCCGACCCTGCGCGGAGGCCTGACCGGGGCGCGGGGAGGTGGCGAGCGTGGGGAAGCGCCCACTGGGTTGGGTGCCCGGCCTGGCCCTGCTCCGGCACTACGTGCCTTGGGAAGCCGCCTCGAGCATCCGCAGCAGAGAGAAGCGTATGCCCAGGCTGCGGTGTCCCAGACTGGCCTCCCGGCCCGGACCGCGCACACCAATCAGGCGGCGGCGAGCACGTGACCCGGACGGCCAATGGGCAGCCTGCACGGGAGCACGCCCCTGAGGCCCCGCCCCGTTGCGTAGGAGCGCTTGCGGTATGTGGGCCGTGCGAGCCGCTGTCCGCCCGGGGTTCTGGCTCTTTCGCGTGGCTCGCGACTGCGGGGCTCCGAGGGCCGCGCCGCCGCTGTCGCCCTGCCCCGAGCGCGCGCTCGCCGCCTTCCGAGGGGGCCTGGGGTGCCCGGAGGGGCGAGGGGGGGGGGGGCGGGGCCCAGGTGCAGATGGCCGGAGAAGTCGGACTGGAGGAAAGGAGGGTGAGGAGGAACCAGAAGCTGCGGAGGAGGAGGAAGAGGAGGAGGAGCTGCTGAGGAGGGACCCTTTGCTGCCGGCGGGGACCCAGCGCGTGTGCTTGGTTCACCCTGACGTCAAGTGGGGGCCCGGGAAGCCGCCGGGTACCCGAGGTGACCGTGACTGTGGCCGCGGACTGAGGTGGGGGGGGCGAGCCGTGAAGAGCGCCAAGTCCCGGAACTTAAAGGGCGGGGACGCCGGGGTCTGGCGCTCTGGGCTGAGATGCCGAAGGGCGGGGCTTCTGAATGGGCGGGCTGAAGGGGCGTGGTTTTGGGGGCGTGACTCTGAGGGCTGGAGCCCTTATGGCGTGGCTTCTGGGAGCGGGACTCCGAGAGCTGGACTGCCCCCACCCGACCCGCTCCCGGCAGCCGCACCCCTGCAGCGGGCCTGGAAATCCTAATTCTGAGCTGGGGCGCCTTCCCGTGTGCACATAGCGGGTCCGGGGCCCCTTCCCCTTTCGGACGCGCCCCAGGTTGTCGCTCGGCCCTTCTGCCCCGCGCAGCCTCCCCATCTGTAAAGAAAGAGAATCCAACAACTAACGCCGGTTTGCACGGGGTGTGTCGCTCAGCTTTAAGCCCTTGTTGACCCGCTTTCACTGTGTAACGCTGAGTACTCCGCCCGAAGGTTGTGCACAAGCGTGTTCACGCCCTTTGTAGCAGAAACCGTGAACCCGGCTGAGCCCCTGAGACGCCTGGGACCTGCCTCCATGGCCCTCGGGCATCAGCAACCCCACTGTACCCGCCCCGGTCGGGCTGGGAGGACAGCAGACACGCCGGGCAGGAGCCCGCCGCCTGACCTGAGTGCTGTGTTCAGAACCCAGCGGGAAGGCGGACGGACGGGGGCGGGGACGGGGCCGTCTCACCAGGGTGGTCCTGGATGTCCTGGGGAGACGGACCCCACGGATGAATAGGGACAGTGTCCAGGGTTAGGGCTCCTGAGGGAGCACGTCCTGGGCCCTCCTGGGACCGCTGCCCCTCGGCTGTTTAGGGGCTGTCAGAACCAAGTCACTGCAGTGGTGCAGCCATGCAAGGAGTCAGGTCATCACAGGTACTCTGGGTTTGAGCAGAGCAGTGACGCAATTGCGGGTTGGGGGGTGGCATTCTCCTTATTCCTTTACTCCTCTTAGACCTTTATTGAGATACAGTTAGCAGAGCATAAGATTAACCACTTTGAAGGGTACCGCTCAGGGGCAGCTAGTACGTTCGCAGTCTTGTGCAGCCACCACCTCTGTCTGGTTCCACAACATTCTCATCTCCCCGGAAGGAAACCCTGTACCCTCAGTAGTAGGCCTCCCCCTTGCTTCTCTCCCACCCAACCCCCGGCAAGCAGGAGTCAGCCTTCTGTCCCCGTGGATTTGCCTGTCCTGGACATTTCATGTGAGTGATATGTGGTCTTCCGTGTCTGGCTTCTCTCATTGAGCACCATGTTTCTGAGGCATGCATATGTTGTAGCCTGTGTCAGTGCTTCATTCCTTTTTTTTCTTAAAAACTTTTTTTTAGGGTGATTTTAGTTTCACAGCAAAATTGGGAGGAACGTATGGAGACTTTTCACATATACTCGCTGCCCTCACCAACAGATGGCCTCTGCCGTTTTCAGCATCCCCACCAGATGGTGAATTTGTTATAACTGACGAGCCTATGTTGACATAACATCGTCACCCCAAGTCCACGGTTTACGTTAATTAGGGTTCACTCCTGGTCTTGTACATTCTGTAGGTTTGGGCAAATGTATGATGACATGTATCCACCATTATAGCATCATACAGAGTAGTTTCACTGCCCTAAAAATCCTCTGTGCCCCACGCACTTATCCCTCCCTCCCCCTCTTAAACCCCTGACAAACACTGGGCCTTTTACTGTCTCCATTGTTGTGCCTTTTCCAGAGTGTCATAGACTTGGAATCACACAGTCTGTAGCCTTTTCTCACTGGCTTCTTTCACTTAGTCATATGCATTTAAGGTTCCTCCATGTCTTTTCATGGCCTGACAGCTCATTTCATTTTAGCGCTGAATAATATTCTATTGTCTGGATGGACCACAGTTTATTTATCTAGTCATGTACTAAAGGACACCTTTGTTGCTTCCGTTTTGACAATTATGAATAAAGCTGCTATAAACATCGATGTGCAGGTTTTTGTGTGGATGTAAGTTTTCACATCCTTTGGGCAAATGCCAAGGAGTATGATTGCCGGATTGTATGGTAAGACTATGTTTAGCTTTATGAGAAGCTGCCAAAGCATCTTCCGAAGTGGCCGTACCATTTTGCTTCCCTCCCAGCAGTGAGTGGGAGGGGTGCTGCACACGCTTGTCAGCATTGTGGATTTTGGCTCTTCTAATAGGTGTGTAGCGGTGTCTCATTGCTGTTTTAGTTTGCATTTCCCTGATGACAGAGGATGTGGACCATCTTGTCCTATGTTTATTTGCCATCTGTATATCTTTTTGGTGAGGTGTCTGTTACGGTGTCTGGCCCATTTTTTAGTAGGTTGTTTTCTTATTGCTGAACTTTAAGAATTGTTTTTATATTTTGGATACCAGCGCTTATGGATGTGTTTTTTGCACATATTTTCTCCCAGGTCTGTGGCTTAACTTCTCAGTCCGCTGATGACGTCATTTGCAGAGCAGACGTTTTTAATTTTCCATGTTGTCATATGCTTGAACTCCAGGATCCTTTCTCTGCCAAGTCCAGTCTACCAGCAGGCCCACGTGAGGCGCTCGTCATTTCTGCCAGAGCGCTTGTGATCTCTAGCAGTTCTTTTTGGTTCTTTCTTGGGATTTCCATCTCTCTGCTTGCCTTGCCTGTCCGTTCTTGCATGCTGTCTACTAAATCCATTAGAGCCCTTGGCATGTTAGTCTTAGTTGTTTTAAATTCCTGGTTCAGTAATTCCAACATCCCTGCCACGTCTGGTTCTGATGCTTGCTCTGTCTCTTCGGATTGCCTTTTGGTGTGCCTGGTAATTTTTTCTTGATAGCTAGACGTGATGCACAAGGTGAAAGGAACTGCTGTAAATAGACCTTAGTGGTGAGGGGCTGACGTGTGGGGGAGGGGAAGCCTTCTGTGGTCCTGGGATCAGGGTTCGGTCTCTTATGGTGCCTGTGCCCCTGGGCTGTGACCCGCACTAGTGCTTCTCCGTTTCCATCCCCACCGAATCCTAACCCTGGCCTTCAGGGTGGGGTTGCGGAGTGCCAGACCCCCAGGCAGGCAGCTGTGCAGCGCAGCAGGAGGGAGGCCGCTGGCACCCGCGCAGGCTCTCACCACGGAGCTGGGGCCGTGGCCCCTGTGATCAGGAGAGACAGCACCTGCAGGGATTACTGCTGGGTCAGACCTGGAGTTGAAGGACGGAGGTCAGGCGTGACCAAGCACCTGCTGACCTGAGCGACCAGCAGGTGCAGGAGGTGGGACAAGCTGGCGGGCCCATGGGGCGTCACACCCAAGAAGACCACCTCCCCTTGGCCTAGAGAATGGGGGACCCCGCCCCCCATGTCCCAGAAGATGGGGACCCCCGCACAGCCCAGAGGATGAGGACCACGGTCCAGAGAAGGGGGGGACCCTGATCTGTGGCCTCAGACCCTGCCTGGCACCTACTCCCCAACCTCTGGCCTGTGTCCTGGCTGTGCCTTGAGGAGGGTCAGGTGAACCTAGAGACAGCAGCACCCAGGTGTCCGGGGAGTGGGGACAGCGAAGCAGCGGTGCCACAGAGGGGCCACGGCTCTGAGATTCTGTGCAAGGGTGGCTTCCCAGGGGGCTGGGGCACGGGCACGGGATGGGGGGCCGGCCTCCCATGGGGCTTGGGGTACACGCTCCACATCTCACAGAACACGCCCGGGGCCCCGCAGAGCTGTCCTCTAGGCCACCTCCCCTCCAGACCTGAGTCAGCCCCGTCCACCCTGTCCGGCCCAGCCCCGGGACACGTTGGCATCACTGCCCATCTGCCTGCTGTCCCTCAGGGGAGAGTCTCGGCTATCCCATGCCCCCTTCCTGCTTGGGCAGGACCGTCAGGAGGAGAGCCTAGGGCGGGGTGGCCCCCGACAGCCCTCCATCCACGGCCTGTGCCCTCGGTGTCCTGGGCTCCTGCCCTGGCTGGGCCCTGCCTCGGGAACACACACACACACACACACACACACACCGTTCACGGCCAGGGGCCCTGGTGGGCACTGCCTTTCTTGGGCCAGGCTCGGCAAGGGCCCCACCCCGCAGGCAGGGCGGCAGGTTTTATGGGCCCTTGGGAGCCTCACAGGGGATGCTGTCCAGTGGGTCACAAGGGACCATGAGTCCTCACGGGGCAGACGTCCCAGATTCCAACACGGGGGGTGGGGGCATCCCCGTGTCCCTGCTCAGCTCAGGGCCCTGCTCCCCTTCCCGGTCCTGTGTCCACCCCTCCTGACCATCTACCCAGAAGAGCAGAGCTGCATTTCGAGCAAATGCTGATTGGGTCGCTTTCTCGGGACCGTTGTGTAGGCAGGAAGCAGGAAGCCGTCCCAGCCTGGGGCACGTGGCCCAGGGCCCTGGGCAGGGCTGGACACGGCCCGGGGCTGACCCAGCCGTAAATGACCCTCACACTGGCCTGTCTCTCCCCAAAGCTGAGTGGCAGGTGGTGGAGGCACAGGCGCTGGTGCACACGCTGGATGGCTGGTCGGTGGTGGACACGGTGGTGGTGCCCACCAAAACGCCAGACAGGAAGCTCGTCTTTGGCAGAGGGACCTTGGAGCGCCTGACAGGTGAGTCCAGCACGCATGTCCCCGTCACCCTCCCAGAAACAGAGCAAGCATGGCCATGCCTCTGGGCCTCACAGGAACTTGGATCAGACGGCAAAAGCCACCACGCCCGTGTCAGAATTCAAACAAGGCCCCAGCACACAGGCGGGACCTTTGAGAGTCGGGCGCACACCAGCCCTGAGCCCCAGCCCAGCCCACCCCCCTCCCCAGTGCCCTGCGGTGGGGATCCTGCGTGTGACCCCTGCCCTCCGTGGACCGCAACGTCCCCGCCCCAAAGCCATGTCTAGCTCACAGCTCAGAGCAGGAGACATGCCAAGGGGGGCGCTCACCGCCCATCTGTGTCTAACGGGCACTCAGTCCCCACGGGGCCACGGGACCCCCATGTGTGTGAGATCTACTCCCCTGAAGATGGACCCGGTCTGGTCCTTCCCGACCCACACTTGACAAATACTGTGCTCAGAGACTCGGGGTGTCCGGCGAACACGGCCAAAGTGCAGGGTCCCCAGACAGACAGACATGGGCGTGCAGACCTCTGAGAGGCCAACCTCTTTTCCTAGAGAAAATCAGAGGGTCCCTGGAAATCACCGCCGTCTTCCTGAATGTGGAGAGGATGGCTGCACCCACCAAGGTACCTCAGAAGCTCACTGTTTCCTGCCCACGGCGGCTGAGCGAGTGGGTTAGTGTCCCCGTGAGAACACAGGTCTCCACGGGCCTGGGGTCACCACAGGTCCCCTCCCTCGCGCTCCATCTTCTAGAAAGAACTGGAAGCCGCGTGGGGTGTGCAGGTGTTCGACCGATTCACGGTGGTTCTTCATATTTTCCGCTGCAACGCCCGCACCAAGGAGGCCCGGCTGCAGGTGGCGCTGGCCGAGCTCCCCCTGCTCAGGTACCTCCAGAGCCCGGGCTCGGGGCAGACGGAACCCTCCTTGGACCCCTTCTTGCTTTTCCATACCTTGACTGTTGCCAGGGTGGTGAGGGTAGAATGTGGCCAGTGGGGACGTGTCCAAGCAACCCACTTACTAGGGCACGTGGCCCACTGGAGTGCCACCCAGCAAGGGACCCTCCGTCCCCTCCCGTGAAGGCCCACGTGGCGGGGCGGCCCCCAGCGAGCCTGTTCTTCCTGTCTAGATGCGCACTCCCCACCCAGGGCTCTGTCCCAGCCTCCCACGGGCACATGCTTCCGTCTCCTGAGCCGACCCATTTCCACGCCAGGTCCCACCTGAAAAACAACGTTACCCACCTGGGCGGACGAGGACGGGACTCTCGCCACATCATGGGGTCAGGTACCGTGTCTGACGTCACCGGGAGCTCAGAAGGGGGACGTGTCATGGCCACCACCCCTACAAAGGGGACGACGTCCCTCAGAGGTCCTGATGGGGCCTCGTCCGTGGTCACAGTCAAAGGGAGGGTATCAAGGTGTTTCCCTGGTGCGGCCGTAACGAAGGACCACGAACCGGTGCCTTAAAACCACAGACATTCATCCTCCCCGAATCCTGCAGACCAGATCAAGGAGTTATAAGGGCTGGTTCCTTCTGGAGGCTCCAGGGGAGGGTCCTTCCTGCCCCTTCCAGCTTCTGAGGGCTCCGGGCGTCCCTGGGCTTGTGGCCGTGTCCCTCCCATCTCTGCCTCCGTCTTCACGGGGCTTCTCCTCTGTGTCTGTATCTCTCCTCTTCTGTGTCTTAGAAGGACCCTGTCATTGGATGTAGGGCCACCCTCCTCCAGGAGGACCTCATCTCAGACCCTTCACTGCATCACATCTGCAGAGACCTTTTGTCCAAATAAGGTCCTGTTCTGAGGTCAAGGTGTCCCAGGGCTGTGGTCCCTCCAGAGGCTCCAGGGGAGGCTCCTTCCCGCCTCTTCCGGCTTCTGGGGGCTCCAGGCGTCCCTGGGCTTGTGGCCGCGTCCCTCCCGTCTCTGCCTCCATCTTCACGGGGCTTCTCCTCTGTGTCTGGGTCTTTCCTCTTCTGTCTCTTAGAAGGACCCTGTCATTGTTTGTAGGGCCACCCTCCTCCAGGGGGACCTCATCTCAGACCCTTCACTGCATCACATCTGCAGAGACCCTGTTTCTTAATAAGGCCCCATCTGTAGGTCCTGGGGGTCAGGGTGTGGACACATCTTTGGGGCATCACTCAGCCCACTGTGGGTATCATGGGGGCCCTTCTGAGGCTCTCCCCTTGGCCTCTTCCTCCTGGGTAAAGGGGAGCCCAGGAGACCTCAGAGGGCAGAAGTGCGAGGCCACCTCGCGCCGGGCAGAGCTGTCTCAGAACAGAAGGTGTTGGGGCCAAGTGTACAGGGGAGCAGGCTGGGTGGGGGAAGGGGGGGTCCCTGCAGCCCCAAGCGTGAGCCTGTCCACGTCCCCCGCAGGCACCCCCGTGGCTCTTGCCCCTTTTGTGTCTGCTCACTGACTCACCATATTGGGTGTTTCTAGGAGAGTCTTTCATGCAGGTGCAAGAGCGCCTCCTGAAAGATAAAGAAGCGAAGATTCGAAAGGCCCTGGACAGACTCCGCCGGAAGAGGCTTCTCCTGGGGCAGCAGCGGAGGCGGCGGGAGTTCCCTGTGGTCTCCGTGGTTGGATACACGAACTGCGGTGAGAAGTGGGCCCTCCCCGGGGCCGGGCAGGTGTACGCTAGGGGGACCCACTTGCCAACCCAGCGAGACTGAGTATTCACGGAGGGCTAGCCCGCAGTGAGAAGGGCTGCACTCGGGCCCCGTCCCGGGGCGGCCCCCCGTGTGACTGCCGTGGGCTGACGCCCCTCTTAGTGGATGTCCTCCAGACTCTGAGAACGAGGAAGTAGTGACAGTTTTAAGTCCGTTGAGAGTGGACAGGGTCTTGCAGGGATCAGAGTGGTTCAGATGTTGCCGAGGAAAACTTCACAGTCTGTCCTCAGCTTTGTCTGCACGAGCACATCAAGTGGACTCCACGTGGGGAACAGAGTGTAGGGCGTCCTTTAGGGTCACAGGTGCCCTGAGATAAGTGGAAAGCACCCAGTTCCCTCCACTGTGGGGATTCAGTCCACAACACTTACTGGGCTCCCCTGAGGCCCGGCCCCGCCACGTGCTCGGGAAGCACCGCCGTGACGGGCCCGTCCCTTTATCAGGCGCTCACGGTCTGCGTCCAGAGAAGGGAGGGAATGTCCCACAAGCGTGCACAGGAAGCTGTGGGGTGGGTGTCCAGGCTTGAAAAGTCATAAATGTCTACAGGTAAAATCACCCGTGTCAGGAAATCCCAACTGCCCCTCCTGGCTGCATCCCCAGAGGGTGCCGTGTCTTCCGCTAACTGTCACAGGATCCAGTGAGTGTTGGCTTGATCCCGACTCTCACTGACCGGGAGTTCGGGGTCCTGCACTGAGCAGGGGCGTCCAGGCCGAGCCCCGCCATCCAGTTACTCGATGGCAGGACCCGTCACCACCTCCTGGTGGGCCATCGGCGGGACTTCCAGGCGTAGCCAGGGGTGTCCCTGGGCTGGACGGTTACTGCTGCTGCCCCTGAACCTGGGCTCGGTGGAGAAAGTGTCCACGTTTTCAGGAAAGGCTGTGGAGGAGGGTGTTCTAGGACCCCCTCAGGTACACACAGCACTGTCTACACCCTCACTACCTCTCTGCACACACTGCACCCCCTACTCCACCATTCCCTCGTCTACACGGACACCACACCACAGCTCGGTTACTCCACGGGACCGTTCCTCCGCCTGTTTGGACGCCTGCCCACCTCACATGCACGTCACCACTGTCTGTGTCTACGCCGTCTCTCCTGTCTACACCAGCACTCTTGCCCTGGCCCTGGTCCACTTTACCCTGAAGGCTAGACAGTGGCAGCCGAGTCCTTGCACAGCCCGCACAGCGTCCCACGGGTCCTGCGGAGAGTTCTAAGCGCACAGACCTCCTGCCCCTGCCACCCTCCAGCGCCCTGTGATCAGTGTGGGGCAGCCCCGAGGTCCACAGTGGTCGGTGGGGGACCGGAGGGGTCTGAGACGCATGGTCCCCTTGTGCCCGACGTGCAGGAAAGACCACCTTGATCAAGGCCCTGACAGGGGACGCCGCCATCCAGCCCCGGGACCAGCTGTTTGCCACGCTGGACGTCACAGCCCACGCGGGGTGGCTGCCCTCCCGGCTGACTGTCATCTACATGGACACCATTGGCTTCCTCTCCCAGCTGCCCCACAGCCTGGTCGAGTCCTTCTCGGCCACCCTGGAGGACGTGGGCCATTCGGTGAGTGTGGAGGGCCAGGTCGCCTCAAATACCCACAAACAGGAGGCAGGTCCCCTCATCCCAACATCACGGGCCTGGGTCCCCTCATCACAACATCACGAGCCTGGGTCCCCTCATCACAGCATCACGGGGCAGGGTCCCCTCATCACAGCATCACGGGCCTGGGTCCCCTCATCACAGCATCCCGGGGCAGGGTCCCCTCATCACAGCATCCCGGGGCAGGGTCCCCTCATCGCAGCATCCCGGGGCAGGGTCCCCTCATCACAGCATCCCGGGGCAGGGTCACATTACACAAAACTTCACGATGACTGGATCCCCCCCATCCCTGCCCCTCAGCGAGCTGTGCTCTGACTGTACGAGTGTAAGTGCTGTGAAGGCAATGCTAATGAAGAAGGGGTTCTCTGCACCTTTTGGCTGCACTGGGGCCCCGAGCCAGTGAACCCTGGCATTTACTCAGGGTACAGGGGCTGCGGGGCCCTCCGGGTGACAGATGCCCCAGCACCTTCGAGGTCACAGCAGCTGAGCCTGAGGGCCATGTGCAGCTGCCGGCACCGTCCTCGAAAGTGTCTGAAAATCTAGAACTGAACTGAAACACTGATTAAAAGAAAATTTAAGTTCATCAAAAAAAAGAGACAACCCAGAAGCGAACCCCCCAAATCGTAAAGGGCACGTCCTTCCTGTGGCAGAATTACCCTCAGCTGCTCTTTCTCCTTTTCTGTCTCTTCTGAATTTTGCATAAGGTACCTGCCTGTAAAACGTGTGGAATAGGGGTGGAAGCCTTTTTAGAACGTGAGCTTGGTTTCACAGAAAAGTGGAGCGGCCCAGAGCTTCGAGCACAGCACCCGCCGGGTGGGGGGTTGGTGACGGGGGCAAGTGGCCGCACGCAGGCGTAGGGCCAGCACCTGCGGGGCGGGGACACAAGGCGGCCCCTCAGTCCGGGTGCACCTGGAGCGGCAGCCTGGCCCGGAACGAGGGGCACTGGGGGGCTCCGTGCACGGCAGAGCGGCTCTGTGGCCTCAGGTCCCACCCTCCCCCTTGGGGCACAAGCCTCCGTGGGGCAGCCGCACCCACCCCCCATGGAGAGCGCTGCGCAGCCCCCATCGTGGGCCTGGCGGGTCTTCCCGAGCGGGGCCGGGCACCGCTGGCCCCGAGCTCTCCGACTGCCCGGTCCCTCTGGTCCTCAGGATCTGATCGTCCACGTGCGAGACGTGAGCCACCCTGAGACAGAGCTGCAGAAGGCCAGCGTCCTGTCGGCCCTGCGGACCCTGCAGCTGCCGCGCCCGCTGCTGGACTGCATGGTGGAAGTGCCCAACAAGGTGGACCTGGTACCCGGGTGAGTGCCTGCTGCCGCACCGCCGCCGGACCCCTCGCGCTGGCGACCAGGGTGCACGCGGGTCTCCCGCTGGCGGGGCGGCCGCCTCCCCGCTCCTGCTTTCAGGCGTGCCATGCCACACCTGCTGCTGCTCGAGCGGCAGCGCGCTTGGACCCGCCACCGCGCGGGCCCGGATCGCACCCCAGCCCCACGCACGTCCTTCCTCTCACCTTCCGGCGGGGCCGCGTCCTCGCCCGGCACAATCCGAGCCCGTCACGGCTGGGCCTGCGGGCAGGGTCCCCGCTCCGGCCCCCCTCGCTGAGCGGTCGGCCGCCCCTACAGGTACATACCCACCGAACCCGGCGCGGTGGCCGTGTCTGCGCTCCTGGGGCTCGGGCTGGAGGAGCTGAAAGCCAGGCTGGAGGAAGCAGTTCTGAGAGCCACGGGCAGACGGGTCCTCACGCTGCGAGTGGGGCTGGCGGGGCCGCAGCTGAGGTGCGTCGGGCCGGCCCGGCGGGGGTGGGGTGGCGGGGGTCCCACCAGTCGCTGCGCGGGGCGGGGCCCTGGGCCTGGGCAGGGAAGGCGGCGCCAGGTGGGGTCCGGGTGCGACGCGGGGGCAGCCGCATCCCCCGCAGCCGGTCTGTCTGCTCAGGCGGTGAGCAGGTGCCTGGCCGCTTACCTGCAGGCCGGGGCCGTGGGTGATGCCACCCGCCAAGAAGCGGGTCGCCTCGCTGGGGTCTTCGGGGCTCCGTCGGGGCCGCCCGTTCCCACCAAACGCGTCTTCCTCCCAGCTGGCTGCATCAGGAGGCCGCGGTGCAGGCGGTGGACGTGAGGCCTGAGGCCGGGGTGGCCGACGTCAAGGTCATCATAAGCGACTCAGCTTACGGCAGGTTCAGGAAGCTCTTTCCAGGTTGAAAGGAAGCCCAAGGGTGGGGATGCTCCCCGAGGACTGAGGGGGGGGCTCCCCGGGGACCGGGGGGCTGCAACGTTCCCGCCTCAGAGAGAAGCGGGCTCCTAGCGTGGGCCCTACACCCCCGTGAGCGTGGCGGGAGGGCTGGTGGGACTGGGAGCTGGCGTGGATGGTGGCGCTCCGAGTGGTTCTGATTGACCGTTGGGCGTCTGGAGAGCTGACGTCCCGTCCAGGGTGCTTGAGCCGTGAGACAGTAAAAGCTTTGCGTGTGTTCGTGAACCAGCCTTTCTGGTTCTTCCGTGCCGGCCGCCCGGCAGAAGGCCTGCGAACGCTGGCCGTGAAGGAGGCAGGTCCGGCTTCCCCGTCCGCTCTGCGTCCACATGTTCACGGCTGCCAGTCCTCGCCCTTCCCCACGGTAGCGTCAGGGTTATAATTAAAATGTCTCCCGACAGTCCAGCAAGCAGGAAGAATCTCCCCGTTTACTGGACCAGGCGGCCGGGACCACCCATCACACACCCGTTAGTTGTCTTTACCCAAAGGAAAAAATACAACTTTGGGATCTTGTCGACAGGCAGGGAATCACATCCTGGGGCCAAACTCCCCCATGGTGAGGCAGGACCCCCTTCCCGATGTTCACTTTGCAGAGGCTCCAGGGCCCCCAGGCAGACGTTCCTGGGATGCAAACAGGCCGGGGGTCCAGCTTAAAGAGAGTCACACACACCTCAGGGAGACGGGACACTGCGCTGCAGGTTCTCTAAAGGGAAAGCGAATGAGAAGGGCGCTCCCTTGCCCATTTGGCACCAGGAAAGGATTTTTTTCCTTACCTCTGTATTCAGCATTATAGGGCCGTTTCCTGAGTTGTCGCAGGCTTTCAGCACAGCTGGAAAAAGTCTCTGCGCTTCTTCTAAGCGTGTGGATGCAGGGTGTCCGTGTGAGCTTTCCTTGTTTTCTGAGACTCGGTTGTGCACACGCGGCTCTCCAGGCTCCCCAGCTCAGTCCTTGGTGCGCCCAGGCCCTCCACGCCTGCTTCTGTAACTGCCATTCTGTGGAGTTTCCGCCTGGGGCAGTGTGGCAGGCGGAATCGTGTCCTCTACAATGTCCACGTCCTAATTCCAGAGACAATCCCCGCCTCCGAGGCCCCCCGGTGAACCCACCAAGCCCCCTCCCCGTGGGTCCCCGTGAACAGGAGGCAGAAGTGAGAGTCGGGGCTGGTGTGAGGACAGAACTGGAGTTTGGGCTGAGGAAACTGCCTCTGCGGAGACGCTGCTGTGAGGCGCAGAGAGGGGTCCCGACCCCAGCAATCCGGTGGCTCCAGAGCTGGGAAAGGGATGAAACAGTCTTCCCTGGAGCCTCCAGAAGGATGAGCCCTGCCCGTCCTGGGTGTCTGCCTGGGGGGGCCACGTGCGACTGCTGCCTGTAGGACGGGGACAGTTAATCTGTATGTTTGCAGGCGCCATCTGGGCGCCTGTGGCAGCGTGTACAGGACCCACATGGGACCCCGGGGTGGGGGGGACCACCCGCATGGAATTGTGGGGCACGGGACAGTCGGGATGCGAGCCCCTGAGCCTACATGTGCAGGACAGCCTCCCCGATCCGAGAGGAGGTGGCTCCAGCGACCCCGCAGGCCGAGTGCGGAGCGGGACCAGGTCCTGCTCTGGGACCACAACCCCATCCGGTCCTCTTGCACGGGGTGCAGGAGGAGGGGCTGCAGGGTGGCCCCTGGGAGCAGAGCCTCCTTTCCGACGGAGGACCAGGCCAGGGGGTCAGCCAGCCAGGGCCTCACGACAGCTGCACCGCCGGCCTGTCCCCGTCCTGCTCAGCCCCTGCGGGTCTCGTTCCTACAGGGTCTTTGAGGCAGGGGAGGCTTTGCATAGACCCTGGTGGGTGGGGAGCATCCAGGCTCCCCGGGTCCAGCCCATGCGTTTGTCAGGCTGGGGTTGCCCACGTGGTCCCAGGGGCCCCGTGTCAGCCATCCTCCCTGCCGGGGACCCCTGGGCTTGGCCGCCGAGCTCCTCCCAGGTCCAGCCTCCCGGCTCGAGTCTGGTCCACCCCCAACTCCTCCCCGGCGGCAAGACACAAGCAAGGGCTGTAGGGGGGTCGGTTCTGGCCTCTGGCCCCCTCTCCTGGTGCCCCTCACCCGCTGCCTGGGGTCCCACCCACCCACGGAAGCCCCCTCCCCAAGGACTGAGGAGGCGAGCTCAGCCCGCGGCTGCCTCGGGCGCTGGCGAGGTGCTGCGGGGCCAGACACGCCCCCGCGGGAGCTGAGCAAGTGCACCCCAGGCAGGAGCACGAGGCGGGGCCTCACGGGGCCTGGGGGAGGGCAGGGGTCTCGGAGGGCCCGAGGGGTGGATCAGGCTCGTGCAGAGTGGGAACAGGTGGAAGGCCACCCCTCCCCCCAGTACCCAGACCCTCCTACGACCCTTCTGCAGAGACGGTCTCCACCTCTCCGCACTCCAACCTCCTGGACACTTCGGTTCCCCATCTGACTCCCGACCCCTCCAGCTGGCTGGGGAGAGGCAGCCTCATGAGACAGTGCGCACAAAGCTTTCTGGCCGGGCCTTGAGGATGGGGACTGGGTCCCACCTGTGCCAAGGAAGCTGGCGTCTCACCTGGATTTGCCTCCGGGCTCTTGAAGGTGGACTGAAGGTCAGACAGTCCAGAGGCCAAGGGCCCCCAAGGAGCGGGGTGTGGGCGCAGGTAGATCAGGAGCAGCTGCCCCTCTGGTCAGGAGAGTCTAACAACCCGGGGCTTTCTGATTCCTGGGGGGAGGAGAGGGCAGAGGCAGTGGGCGCCCAAAGACAGGTCCTGCTTCACCTCTGGATGGAGCCACTCAGCTGAGGCCAGGTTTTGAGGGATTAGAGTTAAAGGATGCAGGCTAGACGGTCAGGGTTAGAGGGTTAGGTTAGACGGTCTGAGTCAGGGTCAGGGTAAGGGTTAGGAGTCTACAGGTCAAGGTCGAGTACCTAGGGGCTAGGGGTTAGGAGTATTAGGGTTTAGGTTTAGAGATTAGGAGGTTAGGGTTAGGGAGCTAACAGTAGAGATTTGGGCGTTAGGGTTAGTGGGTCAGTGTTAAGCATAACTGGCCCACGACCCCCCTAACCCCACACCTCTGAGTCCTCTAGGATGGACAGGACTTGCCCTGGGTCACTCATGAGTGTGGGGTTCACCTGGACCGCTGGTCATCTACCCCCCACCCCCGTCCTGGAACCTGATAGCAGAAGAATGAAATGTCTGCTCCGGTCACTGACTGTTTCAAATCCAACTCAACCTCAGTCAACGGTTGTTAGGGCCTCAGAAGTCCACAGGGTTTCCTCCTCCCATCTGAACTGGAAAGAGTAGTGCTGGCCCCACTTGGCCTGGGCAGCCCCGGTCCAGCACAGGCCTGGCTGAGGTCACTCCATGGTCATGTTATGAATTTATACAGAACTTGGTGCAGCGACCTACCAGCCCCCAGGTGCTGCCTCCTGAGGGCTGGTGGGGCCCTCCTGGGACTGCAGGCATCCTTTGTCCCATCTGAGTGGGCATCAACAGACATCAAGTCTCAGGACAGCCCTTGACCTCTGACCACACAGGCAGGCATCTGTGGTCCTCCAGCTCAGGCCAGTCTGGTCCCTGTCAAGCGTCTGTGGCCAATTACTGAGCTGACCATGCTGCTGGGCAATTGAATCTGCCGCTTTCCCCAAGCCAGCATCTGTTCTCATGCCAAAGTCCAGAACCTCAGCTTTCCTTTGGGCACTTCTTACCTGTTTCCAGTCCAAACAGTTCCAGAGGGCTGATGCTACGTTCCACCCACCTTGAAGATGGGCATATGATCCACATCTAGCCAATCCCATGTTCCATCCTATGGTTGCTCTGATGGGTTCAAGGACGATGCTATGACCCAAAACCAGGCCAATGACGTTTATTTTATTTTATTTTTTGGCCATGCTGTGCAAGCGGGATTTTAGTTCCCCGACCAAGGATCGAAACTGTGCCCCCTACATTGGGAGTGCAGAGTCTTAACCACTGGACCACCAGGGAAGTCCCATCCCCTCATTTTCAAAACTGCTATGGATTTAAAGCACACAAGATGATTGTGATATGAGTGGCCTTTTCAGTATGACTTCTTTGACTTAGAACGTTTTCAATGTTTATCCATGTTGTAACATGTATTATCAGTGCTTCATTCATTTTTTTTTATTGTGGTTAAAAATACATAACATGGGGATGGGGGGCAAGTGGAGGGAACGGCCCAGATGCACATCGTTCACGGACCCTCTGGACTGGAGGGACTCGTGAGAGCCGGAGCCCAGAAATCCGGGGATGGATAAGACACAGCGTCCCCTCCAATCCCCGTAAGCACCCCTTGCTCCATCCTGCGCCCAAATACCTCAGCTAGGTGCTCTCCCCACTCTTTACACTCCAAACTCAGCCGGGACAGACCTCTGCAGCCGCCGCTCCCCACCCTACATGAGAAGCTCAGAGGTCCTGTCCCCCTTTCCTCTGAGGGACTATTTTTGGTGACCACAAAAGGATTAGATCGCTCAGGACAAAGCTGGTAGAGGACAGGGGGATGGCTGCGCCGGGCGCGCCGCTCTTCCTCCTGACCTTCAACTTTGACGAGACTATCGTGGACGAAAACAGCGACGACTCCGTCGTGCGCGCGCCGCGGCGGGCCAGCGGCTGCCTGAGAGCCTGCGTGCCACCTAGCGCGAGGGCTTCTACACGAGTACATGCAGCGCGTCTTCCAGTACCTGGGCGAGTAGGGCGTGCGGCCGCGGGACCTGCGCCCCATCTACGAGGCCATCCCCCTGTCGCCCGGCATGGGCGAGCTGCTGCAGTTTGTGGCCAAGCAGGGCGCCTGCTTTGAGGTTATTCTAATCTCAGAGGCCAACACCTTTGGCATGGAGCGTGTGCTGCGCGCCGCCGGCCACCACGGCCTGTTCCGCCGCATCTTCAGCAACCCGTCGGGGCCCGACCCTTGGGGGCTGCTGGCGCTGCGGCCCTTCCACGCGCACAGCTGCGCTCGCTGCCCCGCCAACATGTGCAAGCACAAGGTGCTCAGCGACTACCTGCGCGAGCGGGCACACGACGGCGTGCACTTCGAGCGCCTTTTCTACGTGAGCGACGGCGCCAACGACTTCTGCCCCATGGGGCTGCTGGCAGGCGGCGACGCGGCCTTCCTGCGCCACCGCTACCCCATGCAGCGCCTTATGCAGGAGGCGCAGAAGACCGAGCCCAGCTCCTTCCGCGCCAGGGTGGTGCCCTGGGAAACCTCCACCGAAGTGCGCCTACACCTGCAACAGGTGTTGAGGACGTGGCCTGCAGAGGGCACCAGGGCGGGGAGAGGGTGGGGCGGTGGGGGTCGGGAAAGAGAAAGCTAGTTTTATTACTCCCTTTCCCTTTCGTTTTGGTATATCCCTCCGGGATTTCTCGGAATCCCAGGGTGGTC